TTGTACATGATAACTGATACCAGATAAATTTGTATGAAACACCTTTCACATATTGATTTATTAGGTTGTATTTTCAGATCCTGCAAGCATTCCAATAGGCATATCCATCACTATGCTGTTATGAAAAATATTAGGGGAAAAGTGTATTCATTTGATGCCTTCCACATGTTCCTAATGTAAAATTAAATTCTGCTTGTCTTGTATTTTTACATAAATAATATATGCCAATTGCTATGAATCTCATATTTATTTATTTTTTGGAAGCAATAATATTTACAGTTGTCAGGTAGCTCTGTTTGTAGAGTAGCTCTCTGAAGGTGAAGGGATTCGAGCTCAAATCCTGGTTTGGTCTTTCTCCCCTACATTTGGTGAGGTTGACCATCCTTGGACTTGCAGGCAAAAGTCCTGCCAAGGGTAGGGCAAAAGAATCTGGGTTGGTGTCTGGGGGGGGGGGGGATCTTTAAAGAGAGAGGAATGAGGCAATCAGGCAGATTTACCCGCAATTGGCCAGATAGCTTAGTAGAGTACCCATGTAGATTTCAGGGGGCTTGGATTGGAATTCTGGTCTGGTCCATCACATTTTCTCCCTTCCTGTTACATATATATTAATAAACAACAGATTTTCATTATCCATAAAAAAAGATCAGCTATATAATAGTTTGGGACAGAAAAAGTGACGTTTTGCTCATCAAAAAAGGAATATATCTTTAGGGATTACTGACTGTATGAACGTCAAAGGTATGCATTAGAAATTTCTTAATTTTATCCTTTTTCTTGGTTGGTTACAACAAAACTCAGTACAAGTTAAGATTACTCTTGCCTGCTAGAAGTTCACAGCAAGATACTTTTGACTTGGCACCGCGTAACCTCCAGCCCCCATTGTAAAAATTCTCCCCGCTGAAACCCAAGTTGGAAGTTAAATAAATTGTTTAAAATTCAGGCTTTAAACATTAATGAATGACAAGAAACAATAAATTTTTCACTATTTGCGATGAAACTTAGTACATTTAAAACAATGTAAATAAATTAGCAATAAATCCATTATAATTTTTAAAATCAAAACAGAAATTAAAACAAATTGTCTGTTTGAAATTTGGGAATGGAAGGCAGAAAATCTTATGAAAAGAAACTAGTTTTCCACTATGAGATAACTGAAATTTTCGTTTTCTGGCTAGCAATCCACAAAATTAACATGAAGTCAAATCGAAAGTAATTCTGGTGACAAAATGAAATAATGACGATTTTGATTATTGAACAATGATGCATACTGAATAAAGTGGATTTTATGATTTCTTGTGATTTTTATACCCAATGCAAACACATAGGTACCTGAGAATAACTTGTTTACAGTTTATTTCATGCATAAGATGGTCTCCCCAAAATCTCAGGTGGAACGAGCTTGTTAGAATATGGCCTTCGGATGTAAGAGTCTGAGGTATTTGAGGAGCGCAGGGACATTAACCTAGGATCTTACTTGAAGTAGTAAAGATATCATCAGGATATATAATTCTGTAAATGTTAATCTGAAAAAAGTGTTACTGATAAAATTACAAACCAGTAAAGCTACAGTCTCATCAGAGACCAATGCTATTTCAGTTTATCAGTTACAAGTTTTGAAAATCATAAATAAGAACAAATGAATATACAATAGACAGTGCTGGAAGAGGTTTAGTGTATTTATCACTATTTTAACTATTGTGAGGACAATGAACAAACCTCAAGACATTTCCATTTTTCCCATGCATAAGAAATCAGTTTTTCCTTCACTTGTCTATAATTTTTATTCATGTAGTATTAAATTAAAAATCTTGCTACAGAAAGACATTAGAAAACAGATCATGAAATGGTCCTAAATTCATTTGATTTGTTTATGCTGAAGCTTTTACAGCAATAAATTGATTTTTTCAGAATTTGTATTCCTCAGAACTCATGTATTTAGATTAGTCTGTCAACACCACATGCAGAATCTCATGATTCTTGTCAAGTGTTTCACCAAAGTAACATCTTGGAAAAGAATGACACTTCTGGAACCCACATTTATAGAGACATGAGACCTGAGTTTCTCATGAGGTGATCTACAGTTTAAAATGGCATAATAATATTGAATCACAGTTTTGCGTGTGTGTGTGTGTGTGTGTGTTTTTGAAGGGGGGGGGGGTCTTTATGACTATTATTACTGAAATCTCTGATACATGGTTTAAGAGGAAAAATTTTATTATGCACAATGGGCTAATTCCTTTATTCATTCATTATGCCACTCGTTGAATTTGCTCAAGTTTACTTCTTCTCTTGACCAAATTTCTTCCACAGTCTTTGAAGTCAACTCTTGTTTCTTATAGACACTATGAAATAATAGCTGTGCTCTTCAGAACATGTGAAATATGTTGCTGTGAAATTTTCTTCAGGATTTTTGTCTTGGTTTGACGTAAGTTTGTAAACAAATGAAATACCTTGTGCATAGTTTCTGTTCAATGTTTATAGGTTTAGTACTATTATTAGACAATAAAAATCATTTGTCTTTAAACAAGTGGTGATGAATAGTGAGTAGTCTTTGGCATTCTTTATTCTTGTTTTTCTTTTACTATCTTGTAGGTAGAATTTTATGTAAAATGTTTTACTTGGCAGATTCTTAGGAAAAATCCTATAGGTTATTTTTTATGTAGAGAAAGTTCTCTTTAATATGATTGGCTTGTTTCAAAGACACTCTTTGATCTTTAGTATAAAGAAGTTAGCACTCACAGAAGTCATCAATTACAACAACCTTTGGTTGCTGCATGTGACTTGTATTTTCAAGATGAGTGAGTAGGTTAAGTTTTTGCAGCAGATCCATTATCAAGTAAATTAATGTACATTATCAAGTCAAGTCCTATCCTGACTAGTCATGCATGAATGATGTATCTAGGGAAGCACCAGACCTGCTTTGGATGTTGCATGTTACCTACTTTTTCAGGATGATGAAAGAGGTTTTGGAGCAGGGCCCTTCCTAAGTAATTTTAAAACACTGCTAAAACCTAACTTGATCCAGTGTCAATGTTTGTAAGGATGCAAACGTCAATAGACTTTCTTTGAATATGTGCTTGTTTTGTTTTTGTTTTTGTTTTTTGATCAGTGGTCAGATGACAATTTGAGACCAGATCCATTTCCAAGTTACTGTGTGCCATACAGTCTGGACCAAACTTGCATGGATGATGCATTTAATTAGAGATTCCTTGGTAAAGATACTGCAAATAATGTGCATTGTTAGTGGTTTAATAAATGACCTATATTGATGAACTTACTATTGAATCTTTCTGAAAATTTAATTGGTAAAAAAATTTTCCTTACTTCAAGATAAAAGTCATGGAAGTGAACTTTAATTGCCCATATGCCTTTATCGTAAAGAAAATACATGGAACTCACTGTGAGCTGGTTTCTTTAGTGTTTTGATTTTCGTGCTAGCATCAACTTCCTGATTCAGTTGTCTTCTTGACACCGTTGGATTGTCAGATAATTTTTGAAATTGTATCATGTAGAATATTATAATGCTTTTGATTATAGTTGTTGAATGATGATTTACTTCATGGCTACCTAAGAGTAGTTCTTAAAAGCTGCTGGGTATGTTACCCATATGTATAGTTTTTGTTTTGCTTTATTTGGATTTCATAAAATCCTAGAAACCAGCACTCGGTAACTAAATTACAAAATGGAGAAAAAAACACATTATAAATAGACATGCTATGATCAGTCTGATGTTAAAATTACTTTGGAATCATTTTAGTTTGTGGGGGGGTCAGTGTTTGAGGGCAAGCAAAATTTTACTTTTACAGAGCTTGTCTGATGACAGATAGCCATTGAGCCTGATTGAATACTGCTGAATGATAAAGTTCAAAATTTTATCAATTGCCCCCAAGAGCAAATCTACTCCATATTCAAAAATAGTATAGTCTCTCTTTGTACTCTAATGTTTTACTTGTTTTTGGCAGTTCTGTAATTTAATTACAGTACAAATTGATTTGAATTTAAAAAAAAAAATAATATTGCTTTTAACCTTAAGGTTTGAATTTGAGCTGTTTTCAAGATTTTCATTGGAATTAATACAGTCTTGACAACCATTATATTTCATATTTAATGGAAATTTCTCTCTTGAAAATCAGATTTTTTCCAGGATTTGCTAACACACTCATGCAGAATAATTGACTTAATGAAAAGACCCCTGTGGAAGTAGTTTATCAGATAAAGTTATAGCACTGTAAATAACAGAATTTTTTTCATGCAGGAAAATTAATCATGGAAATGTCACAAAGGGCTCTTTCAATCCTAATTATATGCATTTGATAAGGGATTGTTGGGCTAATGATGTGCTGTTAATGGCAAATATATAAATATAAATGATATATTGATTCTGTGTTTCAGTCATGAATTCTATATTGTTAATCAATGGCCTTGAATCAAGATTTTCTAAAATAAAATATAGCATGTGAGTAGAATTTAATTTTTGGATTGGGTCTGAAATTCATCATTTTTCAAATTATTGTGTAAAAATTTTCATTTGGAACTTAGTTTGGTAATATTATTATGTAAATAGAGTATATGGTCACAGGTGTCTGCTATTGCCCAACAGCTTGGTTGTTGAAGGGAATTTTGTTACAAATTATTAGTAAATTGCAAATAAAGTTCTATAAGCCTAAAATAGACATCCTGTCTATTGCACACCTGATTTTTTTTTTACACATTATTTGCAGGATATGTCATAAGATATGACATCTTCACAAGTCAAGTAGATATACAGATTCTGTATCATCTTACAAGATTAAGTTGGTAAAATTGACACTGACATTGTTATTTGTTGAATGGTTAGTGAATCAGCATCAAGGAAGGAGGCTATATATAGGCTCATTGTGTTCATGAAAACATGAAAAAAAACAGATATTTTAAGAATTGTTATTTTAAATCTCAGAAAGTATTTTAAAGTAATTTGGACAAAATAAAGCAGTCGGCATCACTTAGAAAATATTGTTTATTCATTGGTGGTAAGTTTCACATCAACAATCAATGAAGTTGGGTAATAATTCAACAAAAACAAAAGCTCAAAAATATAAAAAGTAAACTTTCACATAATTTGAAAATATTTTTACCATAAGCTTACTTTAAGATTCCTTTTAGTTACTTACAACTTGCTAAAGAGGTGTTGTTTCATTACAAGAGTCTGTTTCATTAAGATGGGTACTTTGGGACCCAGACTGAAGTTCATATATTCTTCGGCGATGTCTACAACAAACTGAGCACAGCATATCCCACAATTCCAAACGAAATGTCCGCGAGAAAAATAAACACATGAAAAAGATGATGGTTGTGTTGAGCCAAGCCATGTAGTGAGCAGTAAAACGGGCCTTTGTCAATTGTATCATGAGTTCATAGTCATGTAGCCATGATGGTGGGTATGTCATGTCCACAACATTGATAATGGTCGCAGGCATCACAAGAAGAAAGTAAAACATGGAGGTGCCCAGTGTTGTATATGTAAAAAGCAAGGAGTGATGCTCCCGTGTCTGATGAGCCTTAAAAGGTCTTTTCAAGCAAATTCCAGTGAAAATCAACACATTGAAGATGAAGATCAGTGCTAGTGGAATATAGGAGTAGAAGCTTGCGGCCACCCACGGCCAGATCAAGGAATGGATGTCATTTTCTCGGTGGTAAGGATAACAACCAGAGTTGTGCATGAGTTCAAAAGTCCACATGGCATGAATGCTTATGACCACTAAACCAACAAAAATGATAATGGCTACAAATTTGGCCATGAAGATTGTGCACAGGGAAGAGAATTGTTTGGGATGCCATATAACAACGAAGCGGTCAATCATCATGGCCACCACAAACCAAATTCCCGAATAGGAGATAACTCTGCTGATGAATTGCCATACACGACAAAGCCAGTCTGCTTTTTCATCCAAAGATTTTTGGTTGAAGATTTTAGTGATCCACTCTGTTCCCAGAAAGAGGTAAAGCATAAGCAGTGAGCTACAGGCATAGGCTGTAATGTAAAAACTAATGGAACACTGGCGGATGTTTTTCCTTTTCATTATGAAGATGGTCAGACAATTGCTAACAGTTCCTAGGATGATGAGAACAGGTGGAAGATACACCTGAAACAGAAGTTCCAGCAATTTCAACTCGGATTCCGCTCCTGAAACCCGGGGTTCATAATTTTGTTCAGATGATGGCATTTGAGCTTCAGAGGAGGATGTCAGATTGGGCATTTTTGAAGAATTTGTCATTTTCATTCTTGGAATGAACTAATTTCTTTTCTTCTGAGCTTCTTTATAAGATGAACTTTTTTTTCCAATTCTTTTCACAGGAATTTCAATGCTCACTCTCCAAATTGTGGACTACAGATTAATCATGGCTAGTATTGATTTCATAACTACATTGTCATTTCTTCCACAGGGCACTCTGATCAGTGAAGATTGCCCGTCTTTAATTTAGCGACCTTTTCTGGCAAGGAAAGAAAAAAGGCTTTAGTGAATTTATCTATTTGAAGCTAAAATACACCTTGCATCAGTAAGCATGCAGACACAAATTGTTAATTGTCTTCTGCTAACATTAATGCATGCTGATAGAGTTTTTCAGAGAAAAATTGATTTAGGGATGGTGATAATTTTACATTAGAATTTCACGTGATTACCCACCTGCTTTATATTCCAGCCTTAGTTTTTCAGTGTCTTTTATTGAGATGTTTTCTCCATTTTTACTGCATCCAGCACCGGATATCTAGTGGCAATAGTTCAATTAAACAAGCTGAATTAATCCCTTTTATAGCTCTCTGAATTGTGATGCTGTAGATTAGATCCCTATGTACCTGCAAGCTGTGTCTACAACTATTTTAGAATATATAGGTTTTCAGGTTTCTTTTTTACTCCCTCTGTAACATGTGAAATAAATTTTCGACAAAAATAAATAAAACGTTGCTTTCTTGTCGTAAATGTTTCCACCAGTTGTAGACCAGTTTTAATACCCTCATACGTCAGTCTTTCGGAGCGTAAAACATGGAATTTTAGTTGCTGCTGATGTCAGAAGTGGAGTAGATTCAATAAAATATGTACTTGAGTCATGTCTTGCAAAAAGTTACGATGTAGGGAAGGGTCCTTAAAAAAAATAATTTCCTTCATTAAATAAGCCGTGTTAGTTGTCACTAAAATCTCTTTGGGTTAGCGTTGGGTGTTAATTGAATAATAGGCTTCCTTTGTGTGTAAGGTAACTGTAGTTTTTTTTGTGTCGTTAGATGATAATTAAAATCACAGTTAATATTTTAACACATCACAAGTAATTGCAGAAATCCTTGAAATGAAGTTTGCGAAAATTAAGCTTTGTAATCGAGAGAATTTTTTTTCACAAGTTGACAAGTTAATAAAGTTCTGAGCTGTGCACTACAATGACAACAGAACAAAAGTTGCTTCTCCAATGAATGACTTTTGCAGTGAGAGAACAGATTTATAATTGATCGCTGACTGCCTTGAAATAGATTGGGAGTATTTACCAAGCATTGATTGACAGGTGTTTCTGTGATGGGAAGCATAGCATGTAAATTCAATGATGGACAAGTCAAAGTTACCTCCCCTTTTTAGCACTCTCCTGTCACTGCAGTAGAATTGGTAGGTGGTAACTTGTCAAGGATATTTTTTATTTGTATACAGCCTTCTTACCCTTGATACTTGTACAGATTAAGTTTTTTTCTGGGATCAATATGTCAGTTTGATTTATTGTGAAGGAAAAGGGGATTATTAGAAATAGCGAATTAACTGGTGTAATTATGGCAAAAAACAAAGTTGTGAAATATGGCATATTTATGTGCCTTTATTAATAACATTAGATTTACTCTGTTTCACTCTGAACATGAATCAAGGTTCTGAAATTAAAATGAATATGTGTTTCTGGCCAGATAAATGGATTTTTTATTGGGAAAGTTTTGATACCGTTCAGAATAGCATGTATTTTATGAATGCTATGAATGACAAATAATATGTTTTTAAACATTAAACATGTCAGAATGCATTATAATACAAATTTTGATGCTGTTTTGGTGTTCTACAAAAAGATACATCAAACGTGTTATTCAATTTCTTTTACAGCTATTTTCATTGTCTTTAAATCAGGCTTCCCGAAGATGAGTAATTTCTTTTTTTTGACCTAGTACATTTGCTCTGTGGGAGTTTGTTGGAAATTCATTATGGTTTTGTATTGTTTCAAAGTAATCTGCCCAGCATGAAACTTTGTCTAGAGCTATAAAATGAACATAAAATTGGTTATCTTTCTTCCACTCGTGTAAAAAAAAAAAGTTCTACGAATTCTCCTTTCTCTTTACTGTTTTGAAGCAAATTCTTCTTATTACATATTACATTTGGCTGTGTATTCTAATTTTAGTACCTTGATGGAAAGCAATTAAATGCTTAAATTCATAAAATGTCTTGCACTTATACACATGAATAACAACATTAAGAAATGTGCTATTTCTAATCAAATCTATGCTAACTTGTTCAAAAATTAATTTCCGCCAAATATCGTATGTGCTAAATATAATACTTAATGTACACTGTTATACCCCTGGCTTAAAAAGCAGGGGTATAAATACATCCTTCAATATATTAAAACCAATTTACTATGTAAAGTAAAAGTTAATTTTGACCATGAGATGAATGTCATCCAAGAAGGTACCAGTTTAAAACTTTTAAGTTCTTTATTAATTTTTAGCTCACCTGAGCTGAAAGCTCAAGTGAGCTTTTCTGATCAAAGAGTGGCCGACATCCGTCTATCGTCTCTAAACTTTTCACATTTTCAACTTCTTCTCAAGAATCACTGGGTCAATTTTAACCAAACCCTAATATATGCTTAGTCAAAGGGAATGTAAGTTTGTTCACAGGAAGTGCTGTGCCCTCTTTAAAGGGGAGATAATTAAGAATTCGTGAAAATTTGGTGGCATCTTTTAAAAATCTTCTTAAGAACCACTGGGCAAAAAAAGATGAAACTTATGTGAAAGCTTCATTATATACTCAAGATTCAAATTTGTTCATGTCATATCCCCAGGGGGTAGGGCCAGGCAACAAGAAATGGTCAAAGGTTTACAAAGGAACATATAGGAAATGTCTTTAAAAATCTTCTCGTGAGAACAGCAAAGCTATGATTAGTCATATTATTATAACAGAAGTATCCTCAGGTAGTGTAGATTCAAGTTTGTTCCAATCATGTCCCCATGGGGAAGGGCAGGGCCACAACAGGGGGTTATAGTTTACCATAGGAATGTATAGGAAATATCTTTAAAAATCTTCTTCTCAAGAACAGCTAAGATATTATTTGTCATATTAATATAGAAGTATCTTCACATAGTGTAGATTTAAATTTGTTCAAATCTTGACCCCTTGGGGTTGGGTGCAGGCACAAAACTGGGGCCAAAGTTTTAGGTAATATCTTGAGTAAAAGGAAAACCTATATATCCCTTTTAAGTACCTGATCATACACGTTATGTAGAAAATATCTTTAAGAATCTTCTTCTCAAGATTAACTAAGCCATTATTAGTCATATTTATACAGAAGCAACCTTAGGTATTGTAGAATCAAGTTTGTTCAAATTATTATAATGACCCCTCAGGGATTGGAAAGGGACCACAGAGGGTCAAAGTTTTGCATAAGAATGTATAGGAATCATTTTGAAAAAATCTCCTGCTCAAGAACAGCAAAGCCATGATTAGTAATATTGATATGGAAACATCCTGAGGTAGCGTAAATTTAAGTTTGTCCCCACAGGGGTTGAGGTGGGCCACATCAGAGGGTCAGAGTTTTGCATAAGAATATATGGGAATCATCTTGAAAAAATCTGCTGCTCAAGAACAGCAAAGCCGTGATTAGTCATATTATTTAGAAGCATCCTCATTAGTGTAGATTTAAATTTGGTCAAATTTAGGTAGGGTAGGGTGGGGCAACAATGAAGGATCAGAGTTTTACAAAGGAATATATTAGGGGGAAAACCTTTAAAATTCTTCTGCTCTAAAACAGCAAAGCCATGATTAGTAATATTGACATGGAAGCATTCTTGGGTAGTGTAAATTTAAGTTTGTTCCCCCTTCCCACAAAAACTTTTCAATATTGAACTGATTTCTGCTTCTTCTTAGCAATTATGCTCAGGTGAGTGATGTGGCCCATGGCCTTTTTTGGGGGGGGATCCTTAAAAAAATCCTCTCTTTACATCTTTGTATTCATAAATTAAAAATCAAGTTTTTCAACAAATTAATATGATGTTGAAAATACAAAGAAAAAAGCTTAGTGTGTTTCAGATTTATTATAGAGTATATACAATATTTGAAGTTTAAATTTTAATGGTAAAAGAAAAAAAAGTGCAGGTGAGCATTGTGACCTGTGAGCATCAATGTGTTATAAAACAGCATAATATATGACAAAGTAAAAAAAAAAATCAAATGTAAATGGATAAGCTGATGATGCTTTATCATTCACATCATGTCATTTAATAGGTAGAGTCTTCTCTAATGTCATACAAGTCGAATGTGTCAGTCAATTAGCAGACAAAAAAGCTCTTTGTAATATAGCAGTAATTACCTAAATCAAGTCAATGTAATGGTTCTGAAAACCATTGTCATTACCTGTTCTCTCTGCCTTCGTCTTGTTTCATCCAGCATCTGATGGAGACTGACATTGTGCCATTTTGTTCATGAACAAAGTCATTTAGACTATGTGGTGTCTATATCTTGTTAAGGCCATCATACGATGCACCCAGTCACTTCAGATGAAACCACGTATTTGTTAATGGAGACTCGGAGGTTGTTAGTCGGTCAACTGATATTGTATTACTAGATGCATCGTTAGGTGCTGAACTTGATTGAACTTTGTAAGAATGAAAAATAAAGTTGTTGGCTTTTTATTCCCTGATTTGTGGACAACTTTGGGAAGGGAGGGGGGGGGGGGTTTCAACCTAGTTCATGATCTGGAGTACGGCACCAACGGGTTATGGCCTCTGTTCCAAAAAGAGAAATCTATGGTGTATATTTTTCCTTTGTGAGAATTTAGGACTTCATTAAGAAACAAGAAGATAACCAAAGTCTAATTATAGAAATTCTGTTGAATTCCACCCAAGTAGTCCATAATGTTTACTCGAAAGTTAACTGTTCATTTTGGATAACACTCTTAGATGAACTGAATACATTTGAGGCTATAATTTCTGAATTTGCTGTAAAAAAGGAGAACTTGTGATCTGGATTTTTCATGCCTATCTTTCATTTCTCAGTTTATTTGCTCATTAATCCTTTTGTTTGTTGTGTTTTGCATTTTGATTTCTATGAACATATCTTGCACAACATCTTTGTGTTTACTTCATTCGGAAGTTCTTTCACAATAAAAGAACATTAAGGTATACATCAAGAATTTCGATTGCACCAACAATTTTAAACTAATTAACATCCTCCATGACAATGACTTTTGATTTCCTGATTTTGTATCTTAATTTTTTTTTTTATTATTATTGTTTTTTTTTTTAGATGAATCTTTTTATAAATATAAGAACAGATACAAATTTTCTTGAGAGTAGTTACATGTACTGGCACTCTGGCTTTACATTCCCTGAATTTGTAAAACTCAATGTTATCTATGTTGCATATTCCAAGTTTAAAGTAATTTTGATCATAAGGATACTGTATACAGGATTATTTTTGCCCTATAACACTTGCAAACAATTTTGCCCCATTTTAAATTTCCCAGACACAGTTGTATTTAAGAGATGATGCTGTCTTTTTTGAATTTGCCCCATAGTAAATTTCCCCAGCTGCATTCGTTTCCAGAATTTTGCACTGCATATCCGACAATTTTTATTTACATTACTGACGTATATTTTTC